TTAGGGGGGGGAGGGGGGGGGGACGTCGTTTATTATTAGGGGGAAAAGATTAGTGTTGAGGCGCTGGGGCGTGAGGAGGCAGAGGAGCTGGCCCTGTTCTGCGTGGCAATTTCTCACTGGGCTAAGAAAGGCCTTCCGAATGTGTTCGAGAATTTTGAAGGATATACAGACAGGTTCGTACATGTTGAACCTTGAACCAAAAGGCTGAGACTGTCGTATCTGCATGGGAGGCTTTTTCTTGGGGAGTAATCTCTGGAGCGCATCTTTGGATAGGTTGGGTGAGGAGGACTTTGGGACAGGATTGGGCGTGGCCTACGAAATCTATATATCCTTTTCTTATAGCCACAGCAACTACATGTTCATATATACACACATGCAATAGGATGCTTGCTGTAAGAACCCTGGGGAGGCGTGGAAATGGGGGGGCATACGGGGGACGCATGAAATTTCACATACCCCCAACCCCCCCACCCGAAAAAAAAAAAATCAGATAGGGTATCCTAAGTGATGCAAGATTGCATTCAGTAGGACAGGATCCCCCCATGCCATCGCCGTCTGAGCTCCGAAGCCACACACACATCCTTGCCTGCAGGCGCTTGGCGGCATCACGCCGCTTGACCTTGTGAAGCCGAGGATTGTACACCTTTCTACGGAGGCTGAGGGTTTCAGTGTTTCAAGCCCAACTGCCCAACCACCCCCCCACACAAATTCAGAGGCCAAGAGCTGCTAAAATGAGTCGTGTTGATCCAGTCGCGGTGAATCTGCGAAGCATCGGGCCCTCCCAAGCAAAACTCAATGTATGTACGCATCATAAATACGGACGAGGTCACTGCAAGCATCCAAAACACTGGAGCACCCTGTAACTCGGCCTCATGCATGTAGGCCACGTGCACTCTTTATACATACATACCCACTCCTTTAACATGGGATGTGAATCAGAAGGACACTACGTCCTCTAGCCATCCAATTTGCCAATCAGGACCTACATCAGTTCTGTGCAAAACCAAGATGTAGTTTTGTTTGTTTGAGTGCTCAAATGGCTGTTAGACTCAGGCACGGATATTCAAAACATGAATGTCATTGTCCAGACTATGTGATTTCGACCCGCTTTAGACACGAGTACTTGCCAGCAGACCGAGTAACAAAGAGCCATGGGCTCTTTGCCTACAGCCAGAATCTCCAGCGATGAGGGTTACTTCCTTTCAGCTTGCTAGGATTTCCCGGAAAGGCATCAACAAACCTAAGCCATATCTCCCCAAGTTTTGTCAAGGGGGACACCAACGGATCCTAATCTATAACCGCCAAGACCCCAAACAGCACTGTTAAAACCATTGTCTACCCAATTGCTAATTAAATCTCCAGTTAGGTATGGTGAGATTACCGAAGCCCTGAACCCTAAACTCTAAACCCTACCCCCAAAAGATTATTAAGCCTTGGAGCCATTAGCCGCCGGGCCATGTTCCTTCGCTGTGCCTCACGCAGCCTCAAGGCACACCTGGGAAGTCGCAGAAAATTCAAGAAAACTGAGGCAGCCGCTTTGTGATGCATGGGATTTAGGTTTATGGGCTTGCGTTTTATGATCAGGTTAAGGGGTTAGGAAATTCAGTGCTTCAAATTTAAACGGGCTTTGGGATGTAGGAGTTCTTGCTTCTTGGCCCTGGGGATGAACGCAATTGGGTATAGAGGTCCTTATTAGCTGGGCAAATACCTCCTTAGAAGTCTAAATAAAGTCAGCTAACCTGGTTGCAAAGTTCTCTGGCCCCAAGAAACTTGAACCTTGCATTCAAGGTAGGAAAGGCTACGTATGTAGAATTAGCCTCAACGGTTTAGGTCCGTTACCCAGCAACTGAGCTACGGCAACCCGCTTAGGGTTTAGGCTTTAGGGTTGCGCCGTTAGAGGTCTCTGCAAACCACTAGTTCATCCCAGTTTCCATTTAATTTTCTATCGTGTTTTCCATTTGACTCTCCATGATTGGGTTAGTAACCCTCAAGCTTTAAGCCTAAACCCTAAATAGTACCTTCCATTTGATTTTCCCTTTCTCTTTTCCATGTGATTCTCCGCCATTGAGGATGTATATCTCCAAGACCGGTTTCTCGTTATTCTTGGCTGGCACTCCGCCATCAGTCTGCATGGGTCTTCTTGGCAAATTTTCTCGTAGAACCTAGGTGCCGAGTTGCCTGGTCTAAGAAGACTAAGCATTGAACTACAGAAGCGTTGAGTTACAGGAATAACGTTAAGCAAAGATCAAATATCAAAGGGTACCTACCCAGCTTCTTCGAAGACAGCCTTAGGGAAAGACGGCTCACTGGAAAAAGAAATAGTGAGGAGGGCACAGCTCTTCAAAATGACCACCCTGCAGCCCCTGCATACACGAGGCATATCTTCCCTTCTCGCATTCAATTCCTGTTCGGAGGCGAGCAGGTAGAATCCAATTTTGTCACTGGGTGTAGCTATAAATTATCGTCATTATCATCATCACCGTCCTCATCCCTTTAAGGGGATTCAGGGACTCTTCAAAACCGAGGTGAGGTCCTGCTGTATACCCCTGAACTACGTACACCCTGTGATACAGACATGGAATAGGGTACCCTGAAGTATCCTACGAATCCCTCGTACTTCATAATCCCGGGGTTTGCCTCAGATCCCAAATTACCAAGAAGATGTCTGCGCCAAAAGTTAAGTCCATCTTCCCATGTAAGGTGTGCCCTCGCTAAACTGTGACCCAGATCCCTACTGGTGTAGAGGGAAGCGGAGGAGGTAAGGTAGGTACCCCTTTTCATACTTCAAGTCTTGCATGGCCTTAGTATGCTACAGTACAATACCATAAGTCTCAAGACCCAAGGTAAAGACGCTTTGGCTAGCCTGGATCATGCAGAACTCGCAGTCAACATGATATCGATATATTTCAGGATGTTGTAGCCAGTGGGACTCACTCCAAGTCTCAGGCACCAGTATTTCTTCCAAGGGTGCAGGTAGCCCCATTGTTTGCAGAGGACCTGATCCTCAATCGATGCCCACATTTATGAAACGCCAAGTCCGTAAAGCCTCAATGGCCCCAACCCTAAACTTGGAGTCTGGGACCTCCATATCCACCCAAGGCACAGGTAGCTCCTCATCCGCCACTGCCAAAGCCTGGCCGCGGCGGCCCGACGCCGGGCTTCCAGGTTCCTTCGCTCGCGGAGGCGACCTTTAAGTGCAGGCCCTGAAGGGGGTTTTGGGATGTGTTGGGCTTTGGGAATGTCGTAGCTGGTGCCAATCTCCTCTGTTGCTGATTGAGGAGATGGGTTCTGGGTTGGCTTGAAGGTGTTGATCGAAGCTTTGGAAGGCTTGCAGGCTTGGAGTCGGCCACTGACTTTCCATCGCTTAAGGGGAAGTCAGGGAGTGAATATATGGATTACTACGGGGGTTATGAATGTACACATTATAGGGATCCTCCTCCCCACTTTCCCTAGAGAACCAGCCAGTTGAATGCCATGTACGCTTAGGAAGCATTCCAGCATTTGGTGTTTCGGAATCTTTGGTAGAATGATCTCATGGCCTTGAGTTTCACCATCCAAGAGCCGCACAAAGCCTGAATGTTTCCAAGACCCACTTCGTAGAATCCGCTGGGCTTGTGAAGGGCGTGCGAACGTGCGACTAAAGTGTAGATTAACTGACGACCAATTTCACCAATGCAGAACTTTTCTTACAGTTTTTCAGGTCCTCTATGCCCTGAACCCCTAAACCTTAAGCCCCATGAAGCCCAAACACGCCTAACTCCTCAACCTCTCGGCCGCTAAACCCTCTTATGTGCGCTGGGAGGCGGAAGCCGCGCTGGAGGACCTTGGCTGACTGATGGCGCACCAGGATTTTTGTCCGGTGCCGTACCAAGAAGCCGCGCACCTGAGATTAGGGTCTAGGCTCTCAGGTCTAAGGTCCTTACCTTCAAAAGACAGTTCGGGTTTAGAGTTAACAGTTTCAGGGTGAGGTTGAAGGGTTAGGCTGAAAACGATAGCATGCGCAAGTTGTTGCCCCTATTGTTCGTGCTTATAGATTGGCACCTCAATTTCAAGCAAAAATCTTCAGCAGACCTTTGCATCAAGTGGTCATTGAGGTTTCGTATTAGACCTTTCATCAAAGGCCACTCTGTAAGAAGAGTTCAACAAGGAGGCTCGACCCTAGAATACAATGTTTTATAGATGTATATGCAGATTTTGTTGTGTTGCGGGGTGCCTGTTCGAGAACCCCTTTTTGTGGGCGTTTTAAGCTCAACCAGTTTGAGTCAGTAGGGAGCTCCTACCTAAGCCTCAGATTCAACGCATGCGCGTAGAGGTTTCACTGGAAGCTGCTCAAGACTCTTGCGGAAAACAAACAGGCTCCAGGGTATACGAAGCAGAAGAAGCTGCTGCAAAACAATCAAAGTTAGCCTTGCATCCTAAAGGAACCTCTGTACGTCGCATGCCCAAAGCGCTTCCGGAGTTGCAAAGAACCCCACACGCTTGCTTCAGAAATGGCCGTACAACATGACAGGAAGCAAGGTGAAGCCTGCTCCTCGGTTGAAAGCCCTTGGCTCGGCACTTCGAGGCTTCTCAGAAGGATCCCTGCATGAGAGTCCCATGACTTTCTAACAGTCCCCATATACCATTGGCGTCCCCAGACCCCATCTCCAGCAGTGACAGAGGCGCCATGCGGGCGATGGTCACCTGATCCCACGGTTTGGCGCTTGAGGTCATATGTCGCAATCTCTCATGATCAACTACCCTGCTCAAAAAAGCCTGCAAAACAGTCCCGCAGATGCTACTGCCCTTCAACGCGTTCCATGATCATTTCATGCAGGGCTAGTGCACAGGTGTGAGAAGTACACTGGGATCAGGGGTGGTTCCACCGGGCAAAGTGTTGCAAAGTCTCACGCAATAGCTGCACCAGGACGTTTTGACTGTGATTCTACCCTGAACCGTATCCTTAGACCCCAACCCCAAAACCCCTAGATGCCCCCAGATCTCGATGCCACGGCATTTTCACCAAAACTTCTGTAACCCCGAACCTCCAAGGCTAACCTAGATCTGGAAGCTTTGTGAAAGGCTGTTCATGTCTATGTACACATCTCAAGATCATACAGTAAGATTCACGTCCTTTAAACAGGGCAACAGCATCTTCAAACCAACTTCGAGCACCCTGCCTGGGCCGCGTTCTGTCGCCAGGCCTCTGACAAGCGCCTTTCGGCGCGGAGGTTCAACGACTTGCCCACCACTGTGAGCCTTGGATGGTAGGCTTTAGGCTTGAAAGATAGGAAGACTCTGGTCCTGAGGAAGGCGGAAGAAGAATGGCTTAGGGTTGGGCACTTTCTGCCTGCCACCCAGAGACAGTCCTTAATTAACCGGTTTAGTACAAGGGGTTTGAGAATTATAGCCGCAAGATACTTACTGTCGAGCTGCTACTGAATTATTGGGGCATTGCCCAGAGCTCGCTGTTTTTGCGCAGACATATCCGAAACACAAGGCTGACATGTCGGGTCATCAGAAAGGGTTAGCGCTCGGGTCTGGCATGCAGGCTGAATAACTATAAGTATGAGCGGATTTCTTATAATGATGGCCAGGCAAAAACTGAAATGAGGATAGTACGACTGGCAACGGTTCTGAGAGGAAGTGCAGAAACAACAAGAATACGACCATGGATGGAGGAAATCCTGTACCGCCTAAGCAGCCCAAGACCAGGGGTTACCCAAAACGCGTGCGTTAGTTCCTGGACCCTGCAGCGTGAACCTCGGTCCATGAACTCAAAACCCCAAATTCTCAACCTGCACCCGTGCTGAAATTCCCAATCCAAACGTACGACTCTACGAAGCCTCATCCCCATTCCTAGCAAAACTCTCCCCTCCGCACACCCGGAACCCGAACCGGATTTCCTCAACCTCTGAACCTAAACGTGTATACCTGGAATTCCTCAACTCGAAGCCTCAGAAAAACAAAACATGCATACCCAGCGAACCTCTACGCCTAATCGCTTCTCGTCGCAAACCCTGCAACCACAACAGCTCACCACATTGGTGGATTGTATGCTGCGACCTGACAAAGACCCCTTACACCGCGTAGCCTTCAGCCCAGGGTACAAAAGTCTTGTCAGACGCTCCAAATCCAAACATAGAGGACAGCCCAGGCCGTATTGGTTTGACATAATTTCCCAGCAGTCTATATGTAAATGTAAATGTTAGGAACTTGTCAGACCTATCCGACGTAGAGACGTGCGAGTTCCTAGGTGTCTAAGACTTAGTAGATCGCAAAATTTCCGCTTGCACCTGCAAACACGAGAGAGGTAGCTTCTTTTGGGCTCTACAGACGTACACCTAGTGGCCCGACGTAAAGCTGCCTAAACCTCGACCACACCCTGGTTGCCGGGCCACCCCAGGGCGCATCGGCCTAGGGAGTCGGCCAGAAACTCCTTTCTCCTCTCGTCGGCATCAGACCTTGAAAGGGGTCGGGGCCTAGCGCATGAGGCTTACTTGTGAGGTTTAGGGGGTAAGAGTTTGAGGGTTTGAACCTAAGGTTTGGGCCTTTGGCCACTTGCATGGCCTCAGACAGTTTACGGGTTTGGGGAATCAAGTTGTTGGCGTAGATTGTGGCTTCAGACTTCTGGGTTACGGAAGTTTACAGGATCATGTCTTGGTGTCTTGTCCAAGGGGCTTTTACAATATTTGCTCAATGACTGTGACTGAGGTGCGCCTCTCATATGAACCATCCTGTCCCAAAGAACCCAACCTTACACACCCCTAAAGAAATATTCCCTGACTATATACAATGCCACTCTTTGGGGAAGATGGGGTGGCGTCTTTCTTACCTGGGTATCCGAATCTCATCCAAGGTAAGCTCAAAACAAGCCGGAACGACTCCTTGTTCAGGAGACGCCGCCCTCTAAATTCACATGCAACCTAGGTCTCCCGATATAGGATATACTCCTTGCATGAAGCATCCTGCGCCATCTACGGACACGTCCTTTCACGCCCAAAAGCGTTCATGTTGGAGGTCTCTGACCTCCCAACTACCCAGAAATCCCAAACCTGAAGCCCTTTATCGGAACCTTTCCCCAATTGCCTCATACCAAATTCTCAACCCGAACGGGAAATTGGGCTTGGAATTTCAGAGAAACCACTACTTCCCGCCAAGCTGCAGGTCGCAGAGACGTTCCTCCGCCACTGGGCTGGCACCCGGTTCCGCCGTCTCGTCCGCGATGCAGATCCTGGCTGTAAAAGGTCTGTAAACTCAAGCACGGTTGTACACGTGATTTCGCGCTCTTCTATAGCTCAAACTCATTTTCGTCTTCCGGAGTCATGTTTTTTTTTGAAAAACCCGGACTACGAGAAACGGGAAGGCATCTACTCACACAAGCCTACATATGAAACGGACACGGGGAAAAGTTTCGATTCTTCTCATCCTCATCCCCTAGCAATGAAGCTCCCTTCCCACCAGCATTCTCACATCATTTTATTTTTCAAAGGTATCTAAGAATTGTCCTGTTTTGGGATGAGTGTATTGTTAGGGGGCTGTGGGGCCCTAATTATGTCGGGAGTGCACGGGACAAGACTTCACAGGACTGGCTGGGGGCACACCAGGATCGAGAGAAAGGCTGCGGAACACTCAAACATGTGATGCAAGCACATGCAAGCACTTGTTAACCGCCTAGGAGCCAAGCAATCACCGCATGCAACATGAACTCACCAAGCTGTGTCCAGCACCCGTGGGCCCTGAACCTGGAAACCCCAGACCCTGCACGAGCTTTGCAGATAAAGTCTCCAGTCGGGTGCAATTCCATCGGGTTCTAACTGACCTTAGTCTTCAGAGCCCAAGGTGGAAGTATGCTTTTTAAAGCACGACATGGGAAGGTATGGAATGGGTAGGTCTCAGCGCGAAAGTCAGCTCTTTGTGTGCTGAGGCCTTGGACAGACAGTGACTCCCCCCACGTAAGAGCGCAACAACGCCGGATTCTGATCAGGGCTTGGGGTTTCTGGCTGTGAAACTCGTGCAGCGCCCTCTATTGGCCTGTTGTCGGGTTTGATCGTCGATGCAAGGTCAGAAAATCACTACTTGATTCCGCTGCTGTCTGATTGAAAGCCCCCAAACCAAATCTAGCGCCTATAAGCGCTTGACCCCCCAATATCGCAGGCGTTTCAGTTTGATCGTCGATGCCCGCAAGGTCAGAAAATCACTACTTGATTCCGCTGCTGTCTGATTGAAAACCCCCAAAACAAATCTAGCGCCTATAAGCGCTTGACCCCCCAATATCGCAGGCGTTTCAGTTCAGAGGCAGAGACCCCAGAAACCCTATGCCCCCCAGCATAGCGCCTAGACCCAGAGGTTTGTGTTTGGACGAGTGGCCGTTCAGAACGAGCTCCAACAGCCTCTTGGACATTCCTTTGGCATCAGTCTTCGGTCTTGGAGGCGAGTCATTTGTGCGTGTTTGCATAGGGGCATACAAACATGTGGTTGGAGATTATGCTGTGCTTATACATCTTGCCAAGACTTTTTCTTTCTACCCTTAAGGCGTCTTCCAGACATGCCTGGATTTGTTGAGACTCACCTGAACTCTTCCCAGCGTCCTGCCTTTGAGGTGAGAGGCTGCAGCTCCAACCCTGAACCCTCATTATTTCTCAAGACTTCTTCATTGCGGGTTAGGATACACTCGGTGTGAAGCAATTCCACGAGCCTCTTGCATTGACTCTACTTTCCGCTGGTATGGAACCTACTCGCAATCAGGTTCTCTTGAGATGCTACCACGTGCCATGTTGGGTTTAAAGCTCTACAAGGCCTGTTTGGGCTTCCATGTTGGGAGTGTAGATTGCCACAGATCTATCGGCTCCATACTGTGGATCAACTGGGTGGGGTTCCTGGACTTCGCCGTGTTTTGCCAACATCGCAAGCATCGACCTCCCAACCAGGAAGCCTGCTTCTTAAAGTGTACACCCCCCAATCCCCAAACGCTATACCCCTACTCCGAATCCTCAACTCTAAACCACTCAGCCTCAAACCTAAAACATCAATCCTCCATACCTCAACCCTCAACCCCAACACAAGAGGATAGGATGCTACACTCATCCCGCTTTGACGCCCAAACAATTGCCATGAGGCTCAAAGCAGCCAAGGTTCGGTCCAGAAGCTCCGAAATCCAAGGAGTCCGAGACTCGCAGGCAGGACTAAGGTTGACTTCCAGGAGCCTCGGAGGAAAATGTCATAAAGTCAATGTACATACGGATAGGCTCCCCTAAACCAACGTTGATGCGAAGGAGTTGAGAGGGTGGGATTGGGGTCTGACGGCTTGAGCATTCTTGTGTTTGTCCCTGCTTCACGGCTTAGGCTTACCCAAATGCATGCCCCATGGATGCACTCACCGACTCACCAATGTTCCTAAGCAACCCGATAGACACTTACCACAACCTACGTACCTTCGTCCCTATAGCCGATTGAAATTGCTCCTCCATGCGGCAGTCGCAATTCTTTGTTGGAATGTAGACGAATCCCTCAACCCAAGCTGCTTGTTGCTGTGGGTAGAGGCTGTTTCAGGGAAACAAGAGGAAGGATCTGTGTAAGAGAGAGATTCTCCACCTGAGTGGGGTCTGTTTTGGTTCTATGGTCTTTTCTTAGCTTAACCGTTGCTGCTGCTTTGTCCGCTAGGTGACCCTTAGACAAGCTCAGTGGCGACGATTCCATTTGCAGTAATTCCTTTATCCCAACAAAAGTACTGTCAACGTGAAAAGGTAGACAGCTGTAGCCAGAGCATGGCAATCCCCATCAGAGGCGGAATCCCAAATGGACATGAATTTTGCGCCCTCATAATCAGCAGCAAAAACCGTAGCAAGCACAGTACAAAGGATGCGAATGTGAGCCATCAGATCAACCACGTGAATCCTGAATACTCGAAAGAGGTTAGGGGCGTAGTATGTGATGCCTGTAGCCTATGAGTATTATATAGGGGAGAATCTTGGTGATGCTTCAGGCTTTTACATTGAGCACCCGAGGGTGTGAAGTTTTAGTCCGTCTGACGGCAAGGAGCCAGGGCTTCAAGTCGTCTCCGAGGAGGAAGTCGAAACCGTAGACTTCAAAGCAGGAAGATCTGCCAGCAGAAGTGCGCAGGGTGTAAGGCCTGGGGTGTAGGGCCGGGGGATAGGGCCAGGGGGTTGCCCCGCTGAAATTAAATAGGGTTTCCTGTCTTAATCTTCTTTAGCACTACTTGACTACAAAATGCCACCACCTTAAAACTGCTCATCCTGGCACAGGCATTCCATGTTTCCTTCGATAATGTCCCTAAACGCCAAAACATGGTCCATGACCCGCTCACGCTTTGTTGGGATTGCAGGGTTGGGGTTGTCGGCAGTATTAGGGCGACTGCAAAAGCAGGAAAGGGATCCTTCCCTAACTCGCTACCAGACATGAGAAGAGTGAGATAGAGTTGAACGAGGAGTCAACGCTGCTGGTCTTGCAAGTTGGATGAACCTCTTGAAAGATGGCACAAAACGCGGGCTAATATTCAGATGCGTTCCTTGCGGTCCCGGCCAGCAAAACCCAGCATGGAACATTACAACGAACAAGTAGTGTGCAAATCGCTATCCAAAGGGACGACCCCTTGCCTAGGGCCGGACACTATGCGAGAGTAGAAACTTATGAAGTCGTCCAGCTCTCAGTCTTTAACGCCCTCATAAGATCCGCTGGCAAAGGCTTTTGGCCGTAGCCAGCTTTCAAGTTGGCAGAACCCGCCTTTGCACCACACGATCTTGTACAGATCGCAGGCTGTGGAGGATGCACTCCTCCCGAGTTTGGCAGCGTTGCCAAGGTTGATCTGATCGTGTTTAAATAATGGGACCAAGTCCCTTCCGTATGCCGAAACGCTTCGGGGACCCCTGCTGTGACTTGACTGTTGCCAGAGCTGTATGGGCCTGACTAGTTACCTGCTCATGGCCACCTGTCTTACTTCATGCATGGCCAATGCGGCGTGCTTTCCCTCAATTGCATTTCCTGATGCCCCTCAGAACGGGCTCTGGTTCTTCCAGATTTCTCCAAGAGGTGTGGCCTCGGGATCCCCCTTCGGGTAAGAACCGGATTCATCCCCATTGGTGTCCCATACCCAAAGAGGATCGTCAAATATCCAGAAATGCTTTTTCTCAGCTGCAAGCATGCATCATGGAATCGTTGCCAACTTCCTCTCAAGGACCCCCTCTCAACTTTAAGAGACACCGCGCTCCTTCTTGCACACTATCATTATCTCCCAGGGGAGGGGTGGGGGATCCCGAAATGAGGGTTGGTAAGTGTTCCCATACATGCTGACCCCAAAACGCCTGTACTCCTTCATCTTCTCACAAACACCTTGCCTCGTGATTAAAGAAAACCCTGGAACCCCAACTTTTGCCTGTCATTCCCCCACGCCGCCTACCAGCCCAAAAGTTATGACTTCACAGCATCACTTCTGACCCGCCTTCAACTGCGGCACAAGATCATTTTCCCAGTAGTGTCCTTGGTACGCGGTTTTGGTTACCATCCAGAACCCCTAACATGGAGCCTCAACAACATGGCCCGTTGAAGATTACTACCTTTCAAAAGCCTGCTATTCAGGGTTCTATATCGGGGAATTTCGGAGAAGGTAAGCTTGAAGAAAACCTGCACCAGTGAAGTCCTGGAGATTGCAGGGCTTCAGGGACCTTACGTGCGCTTAATTGGCTAGAGAAAGCCTTTGAATCGAACTAATCCTTTGTGAGGATTATGCCTGAACCATATTGGTAACTGCTCAGGCGTCTATGCATTGTGAAGCCCCGATATGGGCGAATGTTTTGAATCCGCGGGGGTGTGTGTTCAAGCAATGCCTTCATGGCATGCTATCCCAAAATATCAGAGCGGGGCTGGCTCAGCAAGTAGACAGCCTCTCATGAGGACACTGGAGGCATAGCAAAACTCTGTAAGTTCACATTGTTGTATCTTGCAACTTCACCTCCAGAGGCCAGAGCCCAAAGAATCCCCAAGCGCCTGAACCTCAAGTAGGCCAAATCCTCAGACCCCAAACCATGAACCTGCCGAAGTAACCCTGAACCCCAAAGCCCCCCAAAGCATGTGGAACCTTACAGATTCTGGGGCTTTTGGCCGAGGAACTGCTGCCCGTCATCATCTCGAGCACATCATTCAACCTCAGGTCTGCCAACTCACATGTGAACCTGAATAATTAGAATACCTACTGCGGGTTAGTAGGGAATAGTTGAAGGAATGTATTAGATAGGGATTATATTCCTTTTTCCCCTCCTCACCACCAGGAAGAACAATGCTTTGGGATCTCACGGACCGATGTCAGACCATTGAAGTTGAGAGTGTTGCGTGTCCGGCTCACAGTGGTAGTTATAGAGTATTGCGGAATTATAATGGCACTCATTCAAGGTTTCTGCAGACTAGCATGGTATCCGAACATTTTCTGTTTACCATGCAAACTTTTCCAAATTGGCCTGGATTCGTAATACGAACGCGGACAAGTTGGTCCATGACTAGTGACTAGTGATTACTTCTATTTTTCGCCAGAAAAGGTCCTTCAGCGGCCGGTTATGCTGAAAGGCAACTTGTTGTACCGTTCTAACAAACCCCACGAGATTAGGCCATCCTACTCGTTTCAAAATTGCGCAACATCCACTTCAAAGGGCAAGACGGACATTGTATTGCACCAGCCCTGTTGCCGCGTGCACTGAAGTCCAAACTATAGGGTGGTACTTTACAGGCCCCAAAAATATTTATGAATACGTTTCCATGTGCAACATCGGCCACCGAGACCAATTTCCCTGCCTCCGAAGTGCAACCTCGTGAAACACTCATAGGCTACCAGCCAGGACGACAGTTCACAGTCTCTCGGAAACTTGGCCCCTTCTGCGCCACTTTCAACCCATAGACTCATAGGTAAAAACCTTCTGAACCCCATATCGAAAGCACCCAATCCATAACCTACAAAGCCAGTACAAGTGAACTCTCTTCCTTGCAGTGGCGCGGCTCATCAAGGCTGGCAACGGCTCCCGTAGCAACATGTTTCCCGCGCTTGTTTACGGACCTTCGGTAGCTCTCAAAGCTTGAGCAGGCTTGGCTTTTGTGTCCTGAAGGAGTCCTACCATCGGCTTGGGAATTAGTTTGTTCATGCCATGGCATGGATGTCGGCTATCCAGTTGTCGTCGGCTAGCAGACCTTCCTTTGCGAGTAGACCATGGCTCCTTGATTAGGGGATATTGGGCTCTCGAGGTTCCTCGTTTAGCAGGTGGATGGAGTTTTCACAGCCCAGTCAAAGTCCTCATTGGACAGGAAGGGAAGACATGGACCCCTGTTGTACTACCTGGGTACCTGGATGTTCCCATACAATCATCCCAGAACCTCTTCCCTCATTCCCTGCATGCAAGAGACCAGTTGGAGATGTGCCTCTGACGATTTGCCAGATCTCCGAGGTCGTAAGGCTCATTGCCTAATCTCTGCGCAACGTACTCTTGATAGACACGCCCTGCATGCTGCAAGTAGACTGCAGTGCCATAACTCCTGGATAATGGAGTGTAAGCTCTGAGGAAAATGTTTTCATTTTGGCATGCTAATGAACCAGGGAGGGGGTAGAAGTGGACCCTGGTGGCCCTTGGTTACCAGGCAACGGGACTAGATTTTGTCGGTCTACGTGCATGTTTGCTGGCCCAAAATCCTGCACCAATATGGTGTACTTGGATGAAAGCGTGAGGCCCCTAAACATCCAAGTTGCATAGGCGCAGATAGCACGATGAGAACATGTAGACCTTTCGCGAACGAAGGTTCTAGGGATGCAGGTCTTTGCAGCACGTTGGACGATTTGCATTGCAGGGACTAGACGCATGAAGTCTTGTAGAACTTTGCACATCGCCGAACCCCCAGTGTCAGTCCCAGCTACACGCCAAAAAAACCCAGAGGGAAGGCTTCTTGACCACGAGAGCCATCGGAATCGCAACTACAAACACGTACAGCTCGGCCCACATCCCTCCCAAATTGGAATCTCAAAGCGCATGCATCCTCACTTAACTGGGGGTCCCCAAGTGTATCTGCCAAATGCCGAGAAAAGCATGTAGAAGGCCAACGCCCTCTGCGACCGGCAAAAAATCCACCAAGCAAAGCCCAATCCCCTACACAGAAAATCCAAGAGTCCTTATATCTCAGAAAACCTATGGGCCTACAGCCGAGGGTATGTAGGTGCTATCTGGAGGCGCATACATGTAGCAAATAAAAGGACCACCCGGCCACATACTGTGGATTGTACTTCCTATAGTTATACCAGGATTGCGAGGGGAGAATACGTAATCAGGCATGCACATTAACCCTCACTCCCCAGGCCAACCTGCAGAGGCTGAAAGGAACGCACCAGGACCCACTGGCGAAGGTCGAACTTTCGACCGCTGAAAAGGAGCAACGGCTTCTCCACGTACCTCCAAGGAATGCGGATGCTCCGCTGTTAAGGACCCTAAACTAAGTTTCCATGGGGCTCAGCACTTTCCTGTAATAAGAGTAATAGTAATACTAATAAAAGTCGGAATGCTATTAATAAGAATAATGCCAGTAGTGAGAATAATAATGGCAGTAAATATAGTAATATGGAAAGCAGCAAAATCAGCCAAGATCAAGCATTCATTCACCTGCCTAATGAATCTCAACACTGACCCTAAGCAGACTCGCATAGGCAGAATTTTGCTCAGGCTTTTTAAGAAAAGCCAGCGCCCTGGGGACCCTCTATGTAGGGAGTAGGTGGGGATGGTTGTGAAACGCTCCGACTTCAGCCCTGTTCCAAACTCGCCACGGGCACTTCTGCACCACTCGATTCGTGGTGGTCTTGCAGTGGTGCAGCAGCTCAGGAAGCGTGTTCAAGCCTGGAAATGTGTCGCTCGGATACTAATTGAGGATGAAGGTGTCGGGCTTGCACTCTGGGCTACTTAGGCTAGGGGTTGCTCCATGGTGTTTAGTGGGGAATCAAAGCGTGAAAAAGAATGTGGAAACTACTCTAGCATCGAGGGTTCAGCATGCCTGACAGGGAGCAGCCTCCATAATGATTTGTCTGACAATTCCAACAGCATTACTTCTCGTCTTGCACGCATCTTTCTCTAATCAGTGGAGTTTAACTCCGTGTGAATTCGGTCTACGACTTCTAGATTTGGAATGCTTGGAGAACCTCATACCCCTTTTGCCAGGAGACACAGCACGCCGCTCCCCTTGGAGCTTGTGCCCGGCTTCACAACCTGAAGCTTGGTTGGGGGTACTTACTGGTGCCTAATGGGAGTGGCGGGAATATAGGGTACAGTACCATCTCAAAGGATTAGATAAAGATGATTTTCTCAAGCACCAGGAAAGTTATGGCTGAGGCTATGATAGCAGCTCCTCAAGGTGAGGGGTCCCAGTCTTTCGTGAGCATCCAGAGATTGGGATTGGGACTGGATCAGTTGCCGAGGGTGCAGTCTAGAGGTTTCGGGTTTAGGCTCTATAGTGTAGATGAGACTTGGCTTCCCAAGCTCGAAAGACGGAATCCTGGCCGCATCACTTCCGAAGTGGAATTAGCTCGAGGCAGGTCTCAGGAGAGACCGCAGAAGACTGCAACGAAGATTCTGGCACCAAGACAGCCCCGGATCCTTCTTGCCGCCCAGAGCCTCTCAGACGAACTTGGAATTGAAACGGTCAAGCTTGATCCAGGCTATATGTGAGAGTTTCTCAACATAAGGATTCCCCATCTACCTCGTAATGCATCATAAGAACTCCCCAAGAAGACGCCCATCAAGCAGAGAAACCCCCATGCAAAGCCATCGCTATGAACCCTCCGAGTAGCCAAGAAAGCCAGGCCCCCGCTTTAGAAGGACCCCTATATTTCCCGTCGCCTCCCACATATCCCTACATGCCCTAAGCCCTCCCTTTTCAAAACCCTCGACCCTGAACCGTGTGACCACAACATCCCTCCCCCCAAGTCAACCTTTAAGCCGTACTCATTTTAATGCACCGTGCTCGACCTTATTGGTATTTACAGTAAGGGATGAAGGCATGATTCTGTGTGGTAATCCTGGAATACTCATAGTAACCCCTGTGCTATACCCCATTTCATTCCTACTGCTACGCACAATACGATCAGATCAGCCGTGCAACCCAGACGTTCATGGGCCCCTGGGTAGAGACTTGCGGCCAACTCTCCTGTCAAATCTCCAAACTTCGACAAATGCGCCCAAAGACATTTAGGATTTAATGTTTCTACACCAGTCCTCGGAATACACAGCGCCTGAAGGTTCAGGGGTTTAGGTTTAAGGTTTCAGGGCTGAGTTTTGGGGACCCATATCCTTGCAGGATTCCGTCACACCTAGAATTTGTCAGGAGTTTTGGAGACGTTTCGCACAGAGGCTTCTTGGGACAGCGGTGACGGTTGTGGCGAGAGCCTATTCGACCGCTGAACTGGACAACAATTAGTACCCTATGTAAATCAGGAATCCCTTCATGGTGCATGCACTTTGTGACAGCAATCTGCAGGATTAGGCTTCATGACAGCAAACTGAATACTCGAAAGTTCTCAGAAGATCTCAGAAGATCTCAGAAGCACCCCACAAACACGCCAGCCATCTCTTCAAGTGCTTCAGTTCGAGCATCCAGTTGCGGGACGGCCCCTCTACCCAGCCACCCCGGCGTAGATGAGACCCCCCTTGCTCGAACGAGGCAGGGTCCAAGCCCTGAAGGCTCGAGAATCTCAACCCTTACCTAAACTCTGGCTCTCAAAGCCCGAACCCTCAACTCCAAACCCTCGAACCTACTGTCAACCCTTCACACTCCGAAGACCTCATCCCTCAGAAGCGGCCTCCAAAGCAGCAACTGCCCTCTTAGCAGCTTGATGCAGCTCAGCGGGGGCCGAATCTGCCCAGACGTGCCCGCGAAGCCTCAGCACCCTCAGCCCTCTTTTGGGATGGTGTTTATTAGCGTAGGGAACAGACATGAAAGGAATTGGGTATCATGTGCGCCGCGCTGCAAGCATGGCTAATCCTGGAGTCAAAGACCAGCGTATGGCCAGCGCATAAACACACTAGGTTTGAGGTTAGGATTTAGTTGAGGGCTTTCTTCTGGAAGCCTTGGATTTGGGGAACATGATGCGTAGACTTTTTCTGAATTTTGAGGTCCCGTGTCAGGCGTGAAGTCCAGACCATACCCCAGGCCTGAAGTCCAAAGCTTGCTGAATCCGCCCAATTCCGGTGACACTGGCCTTTAACACGCTCTTGGTGGTTGGGAGGACCCGTTTAGGGTTTGACTGGGTCCGGGTGCGCCTGGTCTATAAGCTTCACTGGGGCAAAGTTCGAAGTTCAGACAACGCAGTTTGAGCCTCATGTTTTGGACTCTCCAGAGCAAATCAAGAGGAGCAGTGAAGCCTCGCTAGGGACCCAAAGCATTTCCTCAATGGAGACCACTGTTTGGACACCACACGGAACATGCCATGGAAGACTTTGGCAAGACCATCTCATCAATCACGCGGCTGGTGCCGCAGAAGCCCACGCATCCTACCTACCATTCTGATATCTCTGCTTAGAAATTGATGCTCCCCTGTATAGACACCGGAGACAAGGATTTTCATATGTGGACTCGCACACAGGGAGCCCACAATATCTGGAAACACCCCACTTGCAGCTGGGAAGCTCTGGCCACTTCTGAGGCTCCTGGTATCTGGGGGCCTTTACTTTGAACGCTTGGGGTGTTCCCTCTGTGTTCGACCAGGTCTTGAGGGAACATGCAGTATGACTTCTTGACATGCTGAACAATGTGCACAAACCCAAACGGCCTGCAGTTGGCATACCTGTGAAGCTTCTGAACATTCTGACTTCACAGGCTGGATGAGGCGATGCCCACACCTGCCAGGAACCTACAACAAGCCGCCAGCCCTTCGGCAACAGTGGGTACCGGGAAAGGGCCCCAGAATTCTCGAGGGATGACAAAGAGAGATTCCAGGTTTCCACGAAAAATGATAGACTCGGAGATCATGTTGCGTTGAGAAACTACTGCTCCAACTCCTTCGACCTCTTCGACCTTTTGAAGCTTGAATCTTCTGACGCAAGTTCCGTAAATTCCCACATCACACTCTCCATCCCTCGCGCGCCCGCACCTCCAAAGGCCCAAAGCTCCAGCCTCACCTCCTTGATGCCCGAAACTCCGCCAAGATCTGTAAACCCCAGACTGGCTTGCCGAAGAGGTATCATATCCCTGAGGAGACCCCTGTCCCTCCCATATATCCCCAGAAGCAATTCTATCCCGCTGGAAAACCCAAACCCTATCAGTATCCCACAAGTCAGCCGCATCTAAACCACCCTTAAGTCTGGATAGCCAAGCAAGGGTTCCAATCCAGGGTCCTTGGGCCGCGTGTATCGCTCGCCAAGCTTTCGTGGCGCCAGGGCTCCCGAGGCAGAGTAGCCACCTCAAACTTTTTCTGAAGTCTGGGAACTTGACCGTTACCTGAGTTGCTACCCAGAAAGCCCCCCAATGCCTCCATTGATGGTAGCACTAGGATAATTTGATCCTAGGTACCTTCCTTGATTAGGCCCTAGACTGTATAGGATTCCAGGGCATGTGGAAGGACAAATGGACAGTTTTTTTGCAACATGCGAGGATACTGAGTATAATAGAAAAGGCATGCGGACCGGCGGCCGATTTCTTCTCTCCTTTAAAAAATCATGAGGATAATTTGCCTTGAGGAGGAACTTCTGAAGAATAGCAGCGTCAGGGCTATAGCCTGAGGCTTTGGGAGCACTGAAACTATATACTACAATCATTGCCATTACTATCATTCTTCCGGGTATGGATGCTACTGCGCAGTTCTTACTCCTTCAACTACCTGAAGAACCTGTATCAACCTCATCCACGGACGTCCAAGTTCTTCTGCATGTCCTGGCAAGCTACACACCACCAGCGCCACACAACCGATGGCCCGCACCGCAAATTTTCATGCACCAAATGAAGCCCGTCGTCTCATAACCCACATGAATTATGCACAGTCTCATCCCCAGCTTGAAGCCCTATGACCCCGATGCGTCGAATCCAGCCCTAAACCCTCAACCGGAAATCCGAAACCCTCAGCTCTGACTCCTAGACCCTAAGCTCTAAACACAGCAGCCTAAACGCCTAAATCCTAAACTCTAAACTCCCTACAAGCCTAGAAGCAGTTATACTTTCAGCTGGTTCTTAAATTCTCAACTCTGCGGCTTCGCTGCGACTTCTCTCCCAACGCTCCTCAGCTTCGTCAAGCTGGCAGAGTTGGGCCTGCCCAATGCAAAAGAAGACATGCCCGAGACGGGATTTGGGATTCAGGGTTCAGGGAAGTTGGGGTTTGGGGGTTCAAAGCGTTCAGGCCACAGCTTCTTAGACTTTAGGACTCAGAATTAGGGGTTCAGGCTTTGCTGGGACAAGGTTTCCTGACAGGCCAGCCTTGGGTTGTGCTATCTTTCTAGTCTCACTGGTCCTTGAAGACAAAGTAGTCTAGTGCATGAGGATAGCAAGTTCGCTTTACAAGGCCAGGGCTTGGGGTTCAGGGTTGCGAACGAGTACGAGAATGACATTTGGGTAGGGGGAGGCGCAGCATTTAAGGACTCCAGGGCAAGGGGGGAGCGCCCCTTCTGGTTTCAAACGTGTACTTGAAGTGCTTTGGGTTTGTGGTTTGTGGAGGGGTTGAAGGTGTAGGCAAGGTGCTGTGCGATTTTTCGTCGTTCTTCTAATTTTGGTCCGGGTGAGTTTGTGGCTTCAAGCAAGCTTTTTGGCACAGTGGTCTTGCATCTGCGCACGACGTTTGCATCAAAGGCTTTCAGCATCCGCCTTGTCTCCGAGATCAATTTAGAGCTGTAGGATTCGCCAATTTCTTCCGGCAGCCATCCTAGGCTTTACGGTTTAAGCATGTCTTTAACTTAGCTTCATGTTCCGGGCAACATTCCCAAATCGGCGCTACTCAAGGAAGGGAGTTGCCGGAAATCTTGAGGGACTACCCTCACCGAAACAAAACGGAATGCCAAGTAGCAGTATGAAGCCCACATGTATATAGAGCATAGTGGCACTATGTGGCATGCCATGCTTGTATGCTTGGTGTGTGAGGTAGAAGGGGTCGAAACATCCACCGCAACGAAAATGCATGCTGTGAAGCCTCCCCCTTGATGCTTCTAAACGGCTTGACATGTTGAAGTTTGGTCTTACCTCCAAGGAAAGCTCCCTATACCGTCCAGCTCTAGCCCTTAGTAAGAAATCTTGTTACATGGGAACACCCCATGTGCATGCTGTCGCGCAAACCTGAATCAAATTCCCCGTACCTCTCGTAAATGTGGCATTTTCTGAGCGCCGCCATCTCTTGTGCACACCTTCTCCCTTTGTCGAGGAAGGGCACGGTCCGAGACTTTGCTGGGAACAAGAACTGAAACCATGCGAAGCAAGTTCAGCAAATTCGGCCATTTGTTGGAATGTTCCTGCCAACTCAACTGTTGTTGAACATGCTCTCTTCATTCTCACAGGGCCCGAGAACACTATGCAAGAGCCTACATCCACTGCACGACAGGTACCGTGAAACGCAACACCTGTCCAAGGCAATGCAAAAGCTCAGCTTCTCCCATCTGACTGACATTCATACAAGATAGGCTCGGGTTCGATTTCCAAAAAAGGAGTGCACGTCGTGGAAATCCCCGAATGCAAGCTTCCTGGACAAAGGCCAACCCCCAGGGAAAGCGACCAACGACGGTTACCTGCGCGGAGCGCTCTGCTCGCCTCCTTCCTGGGCCAGAAGAGGTGGGCATGGGGCGGTTGCAACAATCTGGGCTCCCCTCTCCGAGGGAATAAGGAATCAATCTTGGGGCTAGTTCTGCAAGTTGGGACTCTATTGCTGAACACTCCTAGCGAAAGCTAGAAAGGCCAGAACCCTATAGTAGCAGCCCTTTGAAAAAGGTTTTTGTTTGCGCGCTCGCTTTGGTGCAGAGGTGCCGACACGTTCACACTTGAGTCGCGGGACTGCGCTGCTCACAGCCATGCTACATTACCGTGGAGGTGTCCGGGCGCTCCAGCGCTATTGCCCCCTCCCTCGCATCCCTGTTATGCGGTGGATGGAGCAAGGCTTGTGATTCAAACAATGTGGCTTCCAGGAAGGCTTGCAATGCAGTGGCGGGGGGGACAAATCACAGAGCTTAAGTCCTATAAATGTATAAATGTAAACCCTAAGGTTGCTCTAAATCCTATAGATGCCTTACACCATACACAGACTTGAAATCCTCTAGTCGATGGCTAATTTGCGCATGGCTCGAGCCCTCCTCAGCTAGCTTTGGACACTAACATGGCTCGTATGGCGGGTTCAAAAAGGAGTAATGCGTGGTTCGCGTGTAGGATTTGGGGAGGCGCGGCATCCGTTAATTCAGGAAGACAACCTACATCGTGTTGTGGACCCTAGTAGTGTTTAGGGAAGATTCCTTGGTTAAGGTATTGGGCTCTTTGAGCACAACATAGCACAGCCAAAGAAGCCCGAAAGCAAGAGGGTGAAATTGCACGAAGGCACAGGCAGACAAATGCTGAGCGGTCGAGGCCTGCAGCTAGCACTAAATGGAAGAAATCAGAAACCTGTACTAGCTCAAGCTTTTGGGGAACAGCAGCAAAGCAGGAGCAGCAGCTTCCCATGAATCAAAAGCCAAGCTTGCAGCCACTTATTTGAGGAGGTATTCTGAAGGGGAGAGCTGCATGACCCCTAAAAACCTGCATAGAACCGCAGAAGCAGGGCTCCTGGACTTCTATTTCCCATCTTTGAAGGCTCGGTGAAAGGTAACACGTGCCTTGTAGCATGTGTACACACCTGTAGATTTACACATGTATATACTTAGGCACCTGACTGTAAAATTAACATCCAGAATAGGGCATTACTCCAAAGAAACAGTATACCAACTGCCCCAGTCTCGATGAGGGGTTCTTGACGCGACTCTCGACGCTCGTCTTCCTCGCTTGCGGGTGCTGGCGGCCGCGGTTGAGCCCCACCAATCCTTGATCTAGCAGGGAACAGGAGCAGAAAATTCAGAAAGTGGTCTCTAGAAATGAACCATCTAACCATTCGTTCATTCCTTACTAACGACCAGGATTTTTTCCAGGGTTTACCCTACTCTTGGGGCCTTGGTATACTTATGATACCTACCATGTTCTCCTCTGAAACACGCTCAGGGCAATCCAAGTCTCACTTTCTTGTCCATCTTGCGCATCCCGGGCCAGGCGAGCAGCAGGCCCATGATCATCACCAGGGTCACCACGTAGAAGGGGATGTACCGCCCGAAGGGGCCGAGCAGAGTACATCCTCATAGGACACTCATTGCACCCATGTGTGAGTAGATTTCATTGAGACAGAAAGCACAACACCGCTCTATCTCCCCATGTTCCGTGGAGAACCCCTCTTACGCAACTCTGAGCAATGAACTCGAGACTGGTATCTTCCTGTGGTAATAGCACCATCACGAAAAGTTGTCCTAATAATAATAGTTATACTAACCCCAGTGCCAAAACTGCGCATAATGATAACAGTACAAATGTTCAGTCTGATTAGTTTTCCCAATATTCTTGTAGCTGTTCTTCTTCTTCTTCTTTGAAAACCTTGGGCTTATGATATGCCTTCCCAGCTTGTAATATGAGGAGAACTAAAGTTACAGCCGCCAATGACTCCTTCTTGGGTTCCTGCAGAAGAAGTATGAACAACAGTAGCCAACAATGATCCGGAACAGAAGCAAAGCAACGACCCAAGATCAAGGCGGCCAGAGGTGGAAACATGGCCCGCGACAGTGCCCCCCCAGAGGCTGTGTAGCCGTTGATGGCCCCGCGGTTCGGCGTCCCAGCCTTTTTTGGATCAGGGATCTTAGTGGCAGGTGAGGATGATGATGCCACCCAAGCTGAGAAGCATCAACAGCAACATCTGTCCGCCAACTGAAGCACCTCTTCCAGAGCATCCTTCAGTCGATGGACTAGCCTTGTCTGAACTTGAGTCTGCTATACTACCACAATTCCAGACTCTTGCCGATGACCATATGGGGTCATGCAGGATTCTATATCAGCAGTAGAACCGGGCCTCCTAAACCATTGACCTTTTGCCAAACACAACTCAGCGACTGAGGCCCTGTTCACGAAGGCAAAGGCAGTCGGAAATGTCAGCGCCGTAGCCCCAGTATGAAACCTGATGCGAGTCTACAGGCTAAGGCTAGAGTCCAGCTACTTTATTGCGGAAGACTGCATGGGGCCAGGTAGCCGAGGAGTGGGTCTTGTGTGGTCTCTTCATATCGACTGCGCTGCTTGAACATCAAGGATTCAACCCAAAAAGGAAGTGAATCACGTCACTGAGGTATGCGCAAGAAGGCTGCGCCCAAAGGTAGCCATCTCCACTTGCCATACCGCTCCTTGGCGAACGGATTCAAGGCACTCTTCTGCTCCGACAATTCTAGATGCGCACATACTAATGATGTCTTATTGGGCCGCAGGCCTTTTTCTGCGGAGCGCAGTGAAAATGATTGGACGGGCAGGTTCAGGGTTGGGACAACAGTAATTTGTCTAGACCTCGCATATACTCATAGTGAAAGCCTACATGCCAGTCACCTTGGGGCTAGCGTTTGCTAGGTGCGGATTGGGTTTTGTGTTTGTTGCTGCTAGTGGTGAGAGGTATGGTGCGGACTCTGCTGCTGCAAGGGCAAATAAGGTTCCGACTTCACAGGGCTTGAGGGCTGTGTTCGAAGCAAAAGAAACAGTAGGTAAACTTCCTTGCTAAGCCGATGAACTGCATACCCAAACCCGGAACCCTAAATCCTAAACACTATGGCCTCAACCCAACACCCTAAACCCTATGCCCTAGATCCTAATCCCAAGTCCTTAACCCAACACCAAACCCTAGATCCTAAACCCAAAGCCCTGTACTCTAAACATCCTTCCTCCCATGCCCCTCCGAGGCACAGGGTCTGCAAAAAGGCCGATCAAAGGCAGCAAGTTGAAGCAGGTACAGAGGAAAGTAAAACCAATCCTTGGCAGATGTTTGGGGTTTAGGCTTTTGAGTTCAGGGTTTGGGGTTTAGGGCCTAGGGTTTGGGGCTCAGGGTTTCTAGTGTCTAGGGTTTAGAGCTTAAGGAGGCAGACCCTTGGCTCTTTTACCTATTGGAGCGTTGAGAACTTGGAGCTAATTCTCTTCCCCAGCAATAACATCTCCCACCACCCCCAACCATGAATTCCAAATATGCCACGACATACTACAACCGGAGTATTCATTTGTAGGAAGTTCGGGCT